AGTTAGCGTGAGTATAATATTTACCTGACTGCACCAAACTTGCGATTTCGTGGCATCTGCGTCCTAACCAGCGCAGCGCTCTATAAGGGCTTCTCGCGGGGCTCCTCCGAGCGCACAACAACTCCCCAAGAGGCACCTCCGAAGAATCATACGGCTGACCTCCTTTGAGACCTTCTGGAGTCTGTTGCAGAGTTCCCTCAAGTTCCCCCCGCGCTTTTGAACACCAGCTCCTATATACTTCGTCAAGTTCGCTCTGAAGTAGATTCACTTCCCCTCCCTGCGGTAGCCGGTATCCACCCTCAATCTTCATGGGCCTCAGGAGGTGCTCAAGCCTGTCCTGCAGATCCTCATAGTCGGGCGCCTGCGGGGCGGGGCCTATGGGGAGGTCCACGGGCAGCTTCGCAAACTGAATCATCCTCTGAACCCTGATGTCATCAACTCGAGTGTGAAACCGTACTGTTACAGGACGGTGAGGGAAAATGTCCGTGTTCGTGTCCGTGCTGGCATTCCGAATGGCATGTAGCATCGGCTTGCTGACAATAAAGAAATCATAGCATTTGCCTGGCGTTGTGTTGCAGCAGGTGACCATCGGATCTGGGATCAGAACCTGGCCATTCCACTTGCGCGGAGCGAAGGCTTCACGGACCAGGGACGGTTCCATGTTGAAGTCTGCGCCGATCACAAAAGGAAGAGAACGCTGCAAGATGTCATGTCCAAGGATCTGCGCCATCTGCACATTCCTACGCGACAGACCCTCGCTGTCGTGGAAGTACGCACAGTACAGAGACATGATGCCAAGCTCTTTGCTGCGGAAGTATACGTGAATCAAGCGATGCGCTACAATATCATGTTGCTGCCGAGGGTCGCTCCAGGCATCGAGATGCGCACGAACAAAAATGGCTACTCCTGCCGAGCGCCCCATGGCTGTCGTGACCTCGCACTGAGTAAAGAATGTCTTCCAACCCAGCCTGCGCATCGCTTCCCTCGCCTCAAGAAGGCGTCGACCATGAAGCTTATGTTCTTGAACCAGTACTATGTGAGCCTCACTGAGCTTGATGAGGTTGGCTGCAGTCGTCCAGCAATTGCCGTTGACGGTGAGCACCTGCAGCCCCTCGGCGGCGGCAGCCGCCGGCAAGGTGTTACCCTCGCGATGGGCCTGCGGCCTGAGCCGCAGCCTCCGCAGCCGCTGCCTGATCGCCCTCGCTCTTCAGCTTCTTGTCCGCCTGGCTCGCCAGCGCCTCGTCTGCGACCCGTCGGCCCGCCAACGCCGCCGCGGCCATGGGGACATCAGCATCAGCGCGATGCTCCGCCGCCGCCGCCTCCTCGCGTGCTGCCGCCACGGGCTGCCCAGCTTCCGCGGTCTGCGGCGCGGCGCTGGTGGCGGCGGCCGCAGGTGGCGTCGTCCCACCGCGGGCGCGGATCTCCGCGGCGAAGCTCTCCATGGGTTGCCAGAGCTCCTGCATGAGACTCGGGGCAAGCCCCGTGCTGAGGAAGTTCATACCGTTGAGGAAGGCCTGCGCGTCCATCTGTCCGTTGGCGACCCCGAACTGGCTGAGCGCACCCACGGCCTGTCCTTTCCCCGCTGGCATCGGGTCGGGGAGCCCTGGAAGCGTCGTGTAGAGATCATACACCGCCTCTTGCGGCAGCCTGAGAGCCGCCACTTTATCTTCCAACTCCGCCTGCGTGGCCTTGGCTGCTTGAACCTCGGCCTGCAAAAGCGCCTTCTTGACCCCTAGGTCCTGAAACGCCTGCATCTGCTCCTGAACATAACGCGTCTGGGCCTCCAGCTGCTTCTGGGTTCTGTTCAGCTTGGCGAGCTGTGCCTGCTGCCGCTGGGACACTGTCTTCTCGCTGTCGCGCTCCTCACGCAACTTCTCCAGGACCGCCGCGATGGCCTCAGACGCTTCCATCGTGGACTCCTCGTCCGCGCCAGTCTGCTTCGCCGCCAGCGCCTTCAATGAGTCCAGCGTGCCCTGCAGCTTCTGAATATGCTGTTTGTTTGACGTGTTGGGCTCCCTCGCCGCGCCTGAAGGCTGCTGTGCCTTACGCTGCGGTGTGGAGACCCCGCTGCCCGACGATGTCACCTCAGCTACCCAGTGAACGCCGCATCTCCAGCACCATTGGTCTTGTAAGCTGACTAGGGCGTGGCACCCTGGGCATGTCCACGAAAAAAATGACGGCGCCTGCGACATGGACTGAGCCTGGGGGGGGCGAGTCCTGCCCTTCCCCTGGCCCTGGCTCTTCTTGGCCTTGTCCTTGCCGCTGCCACCCTTGCCCATCGCTGCAGACGGTTCGGTGTGCTGGCAGCTCTGACCGTCGGGGCGGTGCTCCGAGCTGCGAAACAACCTGGCGCTGCGCCACCTCGAGCCCTTACCCCTCCAAATGGGAGGGGAATGGCTTGAGCCAGGGGCTACGGATCTCCCCCTCCCCCTCCCCCTCCCCCTCCTCCTCCTCCCTCCCTCCCTCCCTCCCTCCCTCCCTCCCTCCCTCCCTCCCTCCCTCCCTCTCCTCTTCGTCCTCCTCCTCCTCCTCGCCCGCCCTCCTCCCTCCGACTTCTGCTGGTGGCGGTGGAAAAGCGGCCCCTCCTCGACGGTTCCCTCTCCGAGGCCTCCCCGACGCCTCGCCCCCCCCCGGTCGGCCCCCGGAGAGCCCCCCCCTCGAGCGAGCGGGCTCCCGGGCGAGAGGCCCCCTCCCGGGGGGGGGGGGGGGGAGCTCCCCCGCGCGTTCTTCGGAGGTGCTCGCGCTCTCTCTCTCTCTCTCTCTCTCTCTCTCTCGCGGAGGGGCCCCAGGACACACGAGTAGATGCACACAACTACCAGGATTCCCAATCTGTTCCTGTATCCTCTGGGCTTTTTCCTTCCCCCCCCCACTTCCCATAGTTTCCCATATCTTCCTGGGGATCGGCGATGACCTTGTGTTTGTGTGTGTTTCCCCTCCTGATCTCTCTCGGGGGCGCGCGAAGACATGGCTTCTGGCGATCCCTTCGGCGGTGGACAGGCCTCCCTTTCGTAAGGCTCCCTTTGCAGTCGGACTTGATTGGAGAGGACGCGCGAGAGGACACAAGACCCTTCCGAGGGCCACGTTGCCACAGAAATGCAGGAGGCATGGGTCGCAAGACACAGGACACGAGGGTACCCTTGATCTGGGAGGGTCGCCCTACTAATCGGGGCCGACTGTATCGTATACCGCGTGCCTCGGGCGGACCTCCGAGTTTTTACGTGTATGTCCTTATTCTCTCCCCGATATAGCCCGCGCTGCAAGAACAGGAACGCACGTCAAGAAGCGGTCGTCAGCTCCTGCTGGGTCTTGTGGCGCGAAGCCTTCCTACCTGCATCGCTCTTCTGATTTGTCTTGCTCATGCTTATGCCATTCTTCGTCCCCCTAGCGTATCACTCGTGCCTCGGGCGGCCGCGGGGCACGAGCTGGGCCCGAAGAAGCTGCCTCTCTCGGGTCGGGCGAAAGGGGGGGATAGCAAAGGGGGGGTCTGAGACTCAGCTCACGTGGCTGATTTTCCTGGCGCCTCCCGGCGCCGGAGGCGGCCATGTATCGAGGAATGGGCCCCTCGGTGAGGCCGAAACCAGCTGCGTGCAGCAAATTTCGTAGGCCCCCCTTTCCCAGTCCCCCCCTTTCGCCTGGCCCGACTCTCTCTCCCTCGCAGTCGGCGGGGCGCTGGCTTCCCGATGAGCCGCGGCGCGAGGCCTCGACAGGGGTCCAGGATGGGGGGCGAAAGAGCTCTCGGGGGGCCGCGCTCCTCGAAGGTCCGCTCCTCCCCTCCACTCCCTCCCTCCCCTTCACTCCCTCCCTCCCTCCCTCCCCTCCACTGAACCCCCTCCCTCCCTCCCTCCCCTCCCCCCTCCACTCCCTCCCTCCCCTCCACTGCCTCCACTCCCTCCCTCCCCTCCACTCCTCCCTCCCTCCTTCCCTCCCCTCTCCCCACTCCCTCCCCTCCCCTCACCTCCACTCCTCCCTCCCCTCCTCCCCTCCCTCCCCTCACTCCACTCCTTCCCTCCCTCCTCCCTCCCTCCACTCCCTCCTCCCTCCCTCCCTCCTCCCTCCCTCCCTCCCCTCCCCTCCCTTCCTCCCGTCACTCCCTCCCTCCCCCCCTCCACTCCCTCCACTCCCTCCACCCCACACCCCCCCCCGCTCCCTCCTCTCTCCCCGCCTGGAGCTCCACCCCTCCGCTCCTGCGGGCGAATCCAGCCACGGCGACGCGAGGCCCACCCAGAAGACCGGAGGAGGGCGAAGAGCTGCAGTGAGGGCCGCCGCCCTCGAAGTTCGGCCCTCCCCCCCTCCTCTCCCTCCGCTCCCCCCCCTGGAGGTGCGCCTGTAGCCCAAGCATGCGAATCCTTTCCCTGCAGGTGAGGGTCCGACTGCACCAGAGAAGCTTGTAGATCGGTGGATGGCTTGGCATGGGATCGATGAAGAAATCGATAAAGAGATCGACTGGAAACCCGGGAACCCAACGGAATCGGCCCGGAACCAATATCAACAAGAACCCAAGAACCCGGCACCGGGAACCCCAGAACCCCGCCGGCCACCATCATCGGCGGGACACGTTCGCCAAATTTTTCACTTTCCGCGAGGACCCCCTCCCAGACCCCCGACGACATGATTTTTTCATGACGTCGACCCCCAGAGATCTCGACCCACTCTGCGGCACTGGTGTTTCATCCTGCATCGTTTTTGTGGACGGCCCCGAGGCCCGACAAGGACCCCTCGGAGGCCGAAAATTACGAAAAAACGCCCGTCGTGACTCTGTTCACTACCCGAGGGGGTCTGGGTTCAGTGCAAGCGCTGATCTCGCCATCGCTCGGACGTCCATTCCCTCTGCTTTTTGCCGGTTCCGTGCGTGGCTTTTCCGCCAAAGGATCCAGGACGCTCCTCGATGGCCCTCGCCGAAGGAAACATGCACACGTCCGAGCGATGCCAAGTGATTGGGGACAGCTCTGCTCGCGCGCTCGCGCGCACGCGGGCGCGCGCAGGGGCCGCCCCCCGGGCGCCTCGGCGCAGAGAGCCCCGCGCGAGAGGGGCGCGAGCCGCCCCCCCGCCGCAGGCGGCGCTACCCCTGCGGCGTCCGCCACCCCTGCGGCGGCACCGCCGCCGCCATGCCGGCGACGGCGACGCCGTCGACGCCGGCGGCGACGATGTCCTCCTCCCCCTCCTCCTCCTCCTCCTCCTCCTCCTCCTCCTCCTCCTCCTCCTCCTCCTCCTCCTCCTCCTCCTCCTCCTCCTCCATCCTCCTCCTCCTCCTCCTCCTCCTCCTCCTCCTCCTCCTCCTCCTGCCTCCTCCTCCTCCTCCTCCTTCTTCCTCCTCCTCCTCCTCCTCGTCCTACCCTTCTCCCCCATCCTCCGCCTCCTTCTCCTCCTCCGCCTCCTCCTCCTCCTCCTCCTTCTTCTCCTCCTCCCCGCCTTTCCCTCCTCCTCCTCCTCCTCCTCCTCCCCGCCCCTGGATGGCGACGACGCAAACGGCGACGACGTCGTCGACGGTGACGCCGCCACCAACGACGACGACGTCGCCGACGGCGGTGGCGACGGCGGCGACGACGGCGATGCGGACGGCGACGCCGTCGCCAAGCCTTCCAGCCTCGGGGTGCTCTCCTGCAGCTGCAGAATCGAAATCGGACCTCTAGAAATTGGAAATCTCAGAGGATCGGCGGGTCTGGAAAATGCCTCGGGCGCCGCGGCCTTCTCAGCGTTCTGGATCGCTCTGAGAACGTTCCGGAACGCTCCCGAACATACTCATCTCGATTCTAGGCCGTCTGGCCTCCCCCGTGGGAACCAAAACGGTACCGATACTGCTACTCTCCAGACCTCTGAAAGGTTGCACTCTGACCAGAATCTGGAGGCGAATCCGGCGGTGGCGACGAGGGCCTCCCGGGAGGCCCAGAAGAGGGAAAACGGGCGAAGGTGTGGGTATCTGTTCCACCTCTGACCCCGTTCGCTGACCTCCTCGTCTGCTCACTGGACGTCTCCCGGCCTCGGAGTGCTCTCCCGCACCTGCGCTGGGCGTCGCTTCATGGAGGGGGGCGAGAAATGCGGGGGGGGGGACCGGGGCACCTCTCGGGCCCCCAAGGCCCCCTTTGGGGCCCCCGAGGGCCCCCGCTGGGCGCCCCGCGGGGTCCCGGTTCTGCAGCCCCCGCTGCCCCCCCCCCCCCCCATGTCTCGCCCCGAGGGCGACCCAGGAAGGCCAGTGCCAGCATGCAGGACCAGCAAGTGCACTTGCATACTTTGTTATCCTGCCGCCGATTGGGCCCTCCAACGCGCTCAACCTGACACTCTTCCTCTCCTCCTCCTCCTCCTCCTCCTCCTCCTCCTCCTCCTCCTCCTCCCCCTCCCCCTCCCCCTCCTCCTCCTCTCTCTCCTCTCCTCCTCCTCCTCCTCCTCTCCTCCACTCCTCCTCCTCGTCCTCCTCCTCCTCCTCCTCCTCCTCCTCCTCCTCCTCCACCTCACCCTCCGCCTCGTCCTCCTCCTCCTCCTCCTCCTCCTCCTCTTCCCCCCCTCTCCCTCGTCCTCATCCTGACCCGCCCCCAACACGCGAGGCCCAAAGGCGGTGCAGGCGCACCCGGCCGGGACAGACCCGAACGCGCCGCCCGGCCCCGCGAAGGAGGCCTACGCGGGGCCGCCGACGGGGTCCCCGAGGGCGGGCGCGAGCGCGAGCAGCGGCGGAGCTCCACGCGGCCCCTCGAGACGGGAGCCCAGCTCGGAGGAGCGTGCCGCCCGCCCGGCCGCGCGCCCAGTGGCGGCCAGCTGGGCCGGCCCAGCAGTGGCCGAGGACAGCAGCGCGAGAGGACCACAGCCACTGGCCCCGGGGAGCGCCTCGCAGGTGCGGTGGAAGCGGGCAAGCCGGCCAAGACGTGTGAGGAGCAGCTGTGCTGACACTTCCATGGCAACTACTCCACGGCAGTGCCGCCCCCTGTCACGCGACGCGCCACACGGCGCCTTGCCGAGGGCACTCCCGGGGGTGTGCCGGGTCATCCGGAGCGGCGGCGTGAGGCGCGCGCTGTGACAGCAGGGCCTTTAAGCCAGGCCTCCTCGCGCCGTGCAAACGTCGCTACAAGATTGGCCCCCCTCCCCAGAGGAGGGGTCAACGGGCGGGGAGCGAGGGGGCGAAGTGAGGGGGGAAGGCCTTCTCAGAAGCCCTCCAGCCTCCTGAGGAGTTGCCGGTGTCTCCGGGGGAAGGCTTAGACAACTTCTCACCAGACCTGGGGACTTCCAAGCCTTCTGAGAACGACTTCTCCTTCTCACTTCCTCTTGGTCTTGCCGCCGAGTCAAAAAAGTTTGGGGCAGCGGCGGCAGCGGCGGCGGCGGCGCGATGGCGACGCCGCCGTCGACGGTGGCGCCGCGCCGCCAAAGACAATGTCGACGACGGCAGCAACGGATCAAGTAGATCGGGTTCGGGAAGGACCAGAGAATGACGACACACATCAAAACAACCCCGCTTCTGGAAGCAGGAAGGCGACAGGAACATATTGGGATCTGGGGATCCGAGAGAGCGTGATCCACCGCCGCTTTACTGTGGAAAATTGCCGCACTTTTCCTTCAGGAAACCGGGGGTCCCCCCCCCCCCGCCGAAAATCCCCCCCCCGCTGGAACCCTCCCCCCCCCCTCCTCCCCGGCAAAACCCCCCTCCCCCCCCCCCCCCCCCTCCCCCTCGAAAACCGGGGGGGTCACTACCGGTCCGACCCCCCCCCCCCTTCGAAAACCAGAGGGGGGATCACTACCGGTTCGATACCCTCCCCACCCCCCCCCACTCACCGCCAGCAAACGACTCCCGGTCCCTACCACCGTCTGCACCACATCCCCCACTGTTGTTCCCAGCACCACTGTCCTCACCACCACTGTCCCCACTGGCTCCACCACCGTCCCTACTCTCCCCACCAGTGCCCCCCACCACTGTCGCACTGTCCCCACTGTCCCCACCACTGTTCCCACCAGGGTTCCACTCTCCCCACTTTCTCCACGGCCCCAACCACTGCCCGACTATCCCCACTGTCCCCACTGTCCCACTGACTCCTCCGCTGTCCCACTAAGCTGTCCCACTGTTCCCACCACTGTCCCCACTGTCCGCACCACTGTCCCCACTGTACCTCTGTCCCATTGTCCCACCGCCGTCCTCGCCACCGCCTTCACCACTGTCCCCACCACTGTACCCTCCACTGTCCCACTGTTTCCACCTCATTCCCACTGTCCCCACACCACTGTCCCCACCACCACCGTCCCCACCACTGTCCACTGTCCCTACTGTTCCCACATTGTCCTCACCACTGTCCCCACCACTACCGTCCCCACCACTGTCCCACTGTCCCCACCACTGTCCCGCTGTCCCCTCACCACTGTCCCCATCACCACCGTCCCCACCACTGTCCGCACCCCCCCCTCGGTTTTCGAGGGGGGGGGGGTTCGAACCGGTAGTGACCCCTCCCGGTTTTCGAGGGGGAGGGGGGGGGGGGGTTCGAACCGGTAGTGACCCCCCCCCCTTTTCATGATGAAGGGGGACCCCCCCCGGTTTTCCGCCAGCAGCGGTAGAACACGCTCTTTCGGGGATCCAGAACTCCACACTTTCAACGACCGGCGCCTAATCGTGCTAAACCTCGTCGTCGCCGCCGCCGCCGCCGCCGCCGCTCCGAGGCGCCAGCCCAGTCCAGCACGGGCGAGTCCTGCACGTACCCGCCCGCCGCGCGAGCGAGGTCCTGCGCGGCGAAGCGAGAGGAGGAGGAGGAGGAGGAGGAGGAGGAGGAGGAGGAGGAGGAGGAGGAGGAGGAGGAGGAGGAGGAGGAGGGGGAGGCGGAGGAGGAGGAGGAGGCGGAGGAGGAGGAGGAGGAGGAGGAGGCGGAGGAGGAGGAGGGGGAGGCCGCTCAGGGGAGCGGCGGGAGCGTCGTCTCCACAGGGCAGGGCGGGGCGCCGAGATCTGTGCACCTTCCCCTGCTCCCCGGCGCCAGGCCCATCCTGCTCCCGGCGGCGGTGGGCCCGCCGCGCCCTCCCGGCACGGCCGGGGGGGGGGGGCGCTGACGCAGCTCCTGGGTCGGGGACATTCTGACCCGGGTCAATCCAGACCCGGGTCAGTCAAGCCTTGCAGAATCCTACAAGATCCTGCAAGATCCTGCACCCAAACCCGGGTCAATGCGAGGGGTCCTGCAAGATCCTGCAGGATCCTCCACCCAAACCCGGGTCAATGCGACCCTGGCCCTGCAGGATCCTGCAAGATCTGGCGCCCTGGCTGACCCCCGTTTGTATTGACCCCCGTCTCAAGGCTCCCGACTGGGTTCAGGATGGGCCTGGCCGGGGAGCAGCGGATGTGTGTAGGTCTCGGCGCCCTGCCCGGCACTACTGGAGACCGAGCGGTTCCAAGCAACAGGTCGACATTAGAACCTCGAACCTCGAATCTGGAATCTAGAACCTCGCCCCCGCCCTCCCCTCCTCCTCGCCAAAGAACAAGCACCCGCATGAGCGCTTGTCGCGCGTAAGAAAAGTACCGCCCTCGATGATGATGATGATGATGATGATGATGATGATGATGATGATGATGATGATGATGATGATTCTGGTGATAACGATTATGGTGATTATGATGACGATGACGGTGAGGAGGAGGATAAGTATGGTGGTGCTGATGATGATGCTGGAGATGGTCATGGTGATGTGATGATGGTGATGATGGTGACGATGATGATGCTGCTGCTGATGATGATGATGCGGATGATGGTGAATATGATGATGACGATGGTGGTAGTCACGATGATGATGCTGATGATGCTTATGATGATGATGCTGCTGCTGCTGATGATGATGATGATGATGATGATGCAGATGACGATGATGATGGTGGTGATGATGATGGAAGATGATGGATGGTGATGGTACTGATGGTGCTATTGATAATGATGATGATGACGACGATGATGACGATGATGGTGATGATGATGATGATGATGATGATGAGTACGATGATGATGCTGATACTGATGCTGATACCTCTGCTGATACTGCTGATGATGATGGCGATGTTGATTGTGGTGATGATGCTGATGATGATGACGATGCTGATGCAGATGCTGATGATGATGATGATGACGATGACGATGACGATGACGATGACGATGACGATGATGATGATGATGATGATGATGATGATGATGATGATGATGATGATGCTGCTGACGAAAATGACTATGATATGACCATGATGGTTCCTCTCGCAACGCTGGGCAAGCCGGAAGCTGTGGCCCGCAAAGGAGTTTGAGGAATCCCTGTCTGGCCTCAACCGCTGAGCGCTCTCGAACCACATGACGCGCCTAAGGAGGGCACCACCCTCCGCCCTGTCCTGCAAGCGCGCCCACGCGTCCCAGAGCGCCTCCGCGGCCCACGACGCGGCGTCCGCGCCGCCCCGCGCCGCGCCGGTGCTGCCGGCAGCAGCCTGCCGGCCGTCGTCGTCGGTCGTCGTCGGTCGTCGGTGGCCGCGGTCGGTCGTCGTCGGTCGTCGCCGTCGTCGAAGGGTCGTCGCCCGTCGCCCGTCGTCGAGGGGCCGTCGTCGATCGTCGGTCGTCGGTCGTCGTCGGCCGTCGGTGTCGCCGTCGGTCGTCGGTCGACCGTCGCCTCCGTCGGGCGTCGCCGTCGTCCTCGCTCGCCGTCGCCAGAGGACGCCGTCGGCCGGCGCCCGCCGCCCGCTCTCCGCCGCCGCCCCCGCCGCCGCGCGGCGCCGACGACGGTGGCGGCGCCGCTGTCGCCGACGAGGCCCCCCTGGCGGCGACGGGGGCGGCGCCAGCGGCGCTCGGCAGGCGCGCGCTCGGCGGGCGCGCGCGGGCGGGCGGGCGGCTCGCCTGGGGCGCGCGCGGCCCGGGCGCTCGGCGCGCTGCTGCTGGAGCATGCGGTCCTCGCCCGCGCGCGCGAGGGGGCGCGCGCGCGCGGCGCGGCGCGGGCGCGCCGCGCGGGCTGCAGCGCCGCGCGCGCACGGCACGGCGCGCCGCGGCGTGGCGAGGGGGCGGTGGCGCCCGCAGCGCGGGGCGGGCCCAGTGCGGGCGGCGGAGCGGGAGGGTCGGCCGGGGAGTTTGCGGGAGAGTCGGGCTGCGGGGGCTCGGGTTTGGTGGGCTCGTGTGCCACCGCCCCCACCACAAGCAGGTGTGGGGGGGTCCGCCTCCTTTTCCTCCTCCTCCTCCTCCTCCTGGTCCTCCTCCTGGTCCTCCTCCTCCTCCTCCTCCTCCTCCTCCTCCTCCTCCTCCTCCTCCTCCTCATGGTCCTCCACCTTCCTCCCCCCTCCAACTTATGGTGGTGGTATCGCCGAATGGCCAAACGATCGATGCGCCAATATGCGCAAACCATTTGTCACCAGCTCGTGCCAACTAAGGAGCACGAATAATAGAGTGGAGGCGCCACGCGCGCAGATATTCCGACGCCAACGTATCATGTCTCGCAGATGCTTGTGAAAGAAAGCCATCAACTACATGTTGCGCGACCTGCTTGATACGAGCGGCATTGGAATAGTAAATTCGCATCGTTGTGCTGGGACACCTGTCTTGCATGGTGGGTTTGTCATGATTGTGTTTCGCGGCACGTTTTCACACACATCGGTTACAACACATGCTAACGAATGTCACGTGCACGATGCATACGCGTTCTACACGAACTCTTGGTTGCGCGGCCAAAGATTATTCACACATGATGAAGGAGTGTGAACGCTGACGTTAGAACCTTTGCAAGTCAGGCATGCGTGCGCAACAAGCGTCGGGCCCGTGGAATACATTGCCTGTTCAAATCACGACCCGGCTTTGATTCGCAACCACCAGCCCACTCGGCATTGTGTTGTACGTGAGCGTCCCAACTTTCCGTCCACATGCCAAACGTACATTGGCTGACTCGAGATGTATGGGGAAATCTCAGATACAACGCCAATCAATGGGTGACCCTTCAAAGCGTCGTTGGTTCGATGTGCTGGTACGGGCCATGCGGCAAGCGACCGTCGAGAACGATCAAATCCTAATCCAAGCATGCTCCCCCGAAGCGTTGTTGGACTCCTTGATGGGTAATCGGGCACTGTCCAGTCTGCGTCTGGACAACGTCCAATTAACGTACACTTATCGCGAACCATCAATTCCCGAGTCGCGTGTCCTTTTTTCAGTGACGGACGTTTAAGCGCAAGTATTCCGCTAGTGACATCGTTGCGCGCATCTCTTTCGAGAAAATCACGATACCAAGATGTCTCATTGGAATCCGCTCGCGCCGCTGAATAAATTCCGCTGTGGTTGGTATACCCATGGCAAACCGGATATATTGATTATGGTTGTCCCTGCATCTTGGTTTCCCCGAAGCAAAGCAAAACCAATACCGTTCATGCCTCTCTTGGTCAGGGGTGGGCACAGAAAAATGTGTTCCCCCTTCCAAAAATGGGGTTCTCGTTTTCTTTGGACACCCCGCGCAGGAACACACAGGAACACATAGGAACACCCCCTTTTCTTCCTACTCGCTCACTCACCACATACACACCCGCTCACACACGCACACGCTCACATCATCATCGTCGTCATCATCATCACCATTCGCATCATCACTTACACACCCGGTCACTCGCTCGCACACTCAGCATCATCACTCCTTTACCCACATACAATCACTCACAACCGACCACCCTCTTTCTCACACGCAGCATCGTCAGCATCATCATCATCGTTTTTCCCCACATCGTAAACGGGGATTGTGTTCCCTACATCCTAAATGAGGTTCTTGTTCCCCACATCCTAAGTGGGGTTCTCTTTTTCTCTGCACGCCCCCCGCGCAGGAGCACACCCTCCCCTCTTTTCTGATCGCACACTCATTCGCTCAACCACCCACATACATCAATACTAACACTCACACACTCACCTACTCACACACTCACTCAAACACTCATCATCATCACTCACTCACGTACTCACCCACTCACTCACCCACCTACCCGCCCATTCGTTCACGCACCCACTCACTCACACACCCACTCACACACCCACACACCCATCATCATCAACATCAGCATCATCCTCACTTACGCACTGACTCACCCCCCCCCCACACTTGAGGAGGTATCAGGCAGGAACCTCGTCCGTGAGTGAATTGCTGGGAAGTCTCAGGCGGGACCCCCCTCCCTATGGGGCCCGCAGCTCACGTCTTTAATCCCAGGCGGGCCACCGGAATCTTACAACTATCATCACTTCTGGGCTCCTGAAGCCTGAATGGAAAAAAACGTATCAGGCGAGAGCCTCGTCTATGAATGAATTGCCAGAAACTTCCGGCGGGAACCCCATCCTTATGGGGCCCGCGATTCATATTCGTTCCCAACCATCCTGTGGTGTTGGGTGTTCGTTTTGACGAGACGGTCCCGGCGTCTTCTCCTCCTCCTCCTCCTCCTCCTCTTCCTCCTCCTCCTCCTCCTCCTCCTCGTCCCCCTCTTCCCTCCGAACTGCGCTTCGCCAGCCCAGTACAACGCTTCGCAACCCCATAGGGAACTGCACGTAAGGCCCATGGGGAGGGGTACCACATGCGTCTGCCACACCCAGTACGGCGCTTCGTGGCCCCATGGGGAGCTCCACTTAAGGCTTACGGGGGGGGGGGGCATCACACGCGTCCACCACACCCAATACGGCGTTTCGTGGCCCCATAAGGAGCTCCACCTAAGGCCTCAGTGGGGGGTACCACATGCGTCTGCCACATCCAGTACGGCGTTTCGTGGCCCCATAACGAGCTCCACCTAAGGCCCCTGTGGGGGGTGGCCACACGCGTCCGCCACACCCAGTACAGCGTTTCGTGGCCCCATACGGAACTCCACGTAAGACCTGTGGGGGTGGCCACATTCGTCCGCCCCACCCAATACAGCGTTTCGTGGCCAGTGGGGCCGTCCGCAATCGTCCCGCAAACCCAATTTGGCATCTTCACCCACCCAGTTCAACGCTTCGTGGCCCCATAAGTCCACCGATGCCCCCAGTGGGACCGCCCGCATGCGTCCTGCACACGCAATTTGATATTTTCACCCACCCAATGCAGCGCTTCGTGGTCCCAATAGGGAGCTCCACCGAAGCCCCCAGTTCCGCCCAGATGCGTCCCACGCACCCAATTTGGCAGTTTCACCAATTCAGTAAAGCGCTCCGTGGCCCCATAAGAAGCTCCACCGAAGACCCAAGTTGGACCGTCCGCATGCGCGTCAGAAACCCAATTTGGCACGTACACCCACCCCGAAACCCTCAGTGGGACCGCCCGCGTGCGCCCCACACACCCAGTTCTTGGATTTTACATCCACCCACTACGACGCTTCGTGGCCTCATCAGGAGCTCACGGAAACCCCCAGTGGGACCGTCCGCGTGCGCGTCGGAAGCCCAATGTGGCACTCACGCCCACCCAGTGCAGCGCTTCGTGGCCCCGTAAGGAGCTCCACCGAAGCCCCCAGTGGGACCGTCCGCATGCGTCCCACACACCCAATCCCACCAGCCCTGCGGGCGTGAGTGGTTTAGCGAGCTCTCTCTGTTCTCAACCCCCCATATTCCCCTTCGGGGAAGGGTTTACCCCTCCCCCTACCCCGCCCCCTGGACCTGGACAGGGAGCCCGGGGCGTAGTCAGGGTGGTCTTTTTTGAATCCTGGGAGGGCCAAAAAAACGACGACCCTCACGAGGATTCTGGCCCCGTCGGGGGGATACAGTTTGGCCCCTTCTGCTCTCATGTGAAGCCCAAATCGTTGATTTTACTACGGTTTTGGCCCCATTTTGGCGTCCTGAGGGGGCCGCGCTCATCTTCCTTCATAGCAAACTCCTTGTTTTTACGAAGGTTTTGGGCTCATTTTGTTCTTTTCAGGGGGCAGTTCTCACTTGCGCTTCTGAGGAAGTGGCAAGAGGCCCCAAGATGGCCCCAAGAGGCTCCCAGGAGGCTCCCAAGAGGCCTCCAATAGGCCCCCCAGAGGCCCCCCAGCGGTCCCAAGAGGCCCCCAAGAGGCCCCCAAGATGCTCCCAAGAGGCCCCAAGAGTCCCCAAGAGGCCCCCCAGAGGCCCCCCAGAGGCCCCCCAGAGGCCCCCAAGAGGCCCCAAAAGGCTCCAAGAGGCCCCCAAGAGGCCCCACGAGGAACCCGAACGACTCACACCAGGCCGAGGGGCCCGAACGACTCACACCACGATTGGCACGAACGACTCACACCACAAGGAGGGGCCCGAACGACTCACACCAGGACGAGGCGCCCGAACGACTCACACCACGAGGAACCCGAACGACTCACACCAGGACGAGGGCCCCGAACGACTCACACCACGAGGAGCCCCAACGACTCATACCAGGAGGAGGAGCCCGAACGACTCACACCAGGACGAAGGGCCCGAACAACTCACACCACGAGAAGCCCGAACGACTCACGCCAGGACGAAGAGCCCGAACGACTCAAACCACGACGAAGAGCTCGAACGACTCACACCAGGAAAAAGGGCCCGAACGACTCACACCAGGACGAGAGGCCCGGAGATATGCGGGGGCAGGCGGAAACACGCCTGAAAAACACGACGGTCGGCATGCTTCGCAAGAGTTGCTGTTTTGAGATGGGCTGGTGGGGATACGCGAAGTGTGAGTAATTTTGCATTTTCACCCACCCAGCACAGCGTTTCGTGGCCCCATAGGGGGCTCCACCGACGGCCCCAGTGTTACCGCCCGCGCGCGTTCCCCCCAGCCCCCAACCAGTGCAGCATTTCGTGGCCACGTTGGGAGCTTCACCGAAGAATGTACTTACACTTGCGGTACCCACAACTGCGTACGTTTGGGTCCTTCCCCTGGATAACTAATCCGACGCAGGCCACCAGAATCCTGCCACTGTCTTTTGGGCTCCTGAGGCCTGCATACGAAGGAAATATCATGCGAGAGCAACGTCTGCTGATG